AGTGAGTCCCAATGTCAAATGCCTCCATAGCTGCAGCCAGGTATACAGTGGGTGCCCAATTTATCACTGTGAAGAATGTGTGGCTTTCTAGGTAGCCCCGAGGTTTCTGTGGTCTGTCTCTGTATCTCTCTCTGTCTGTCTCTCTCTCCTCCCTGCCTCTTCTTCCCCTTCATGGCTTTTCTGACTCCTTTCTCACTAGAATACCAGTTCATGCTGACTCCAGGCCCACCCCAGCCCTCACCAGGCTTCCTCCTGGTTCTTGTCTGCCTCAGGCCCTTGGCACATGTTCCTTCTGCCCTGACACTCCACCCAGCCTTTCTCGCAGCTGGCTCCTTCCAAGTCTCAGCACAAAGGTCACTTCCTGCAGAGGTAACACTGGACCTGTGGTCTAAGAGGTTGCCTCCTGAACAACTACTTATTGCGCTTTTACTGTCCCCCAGATAGAGTTTTAGGTTCCATGAACAAAACTGGAATGGAGGGAGGGCTGGAAAGATGGCTCAGTGGATAAAGTGCTTGCCTTGTAATTGAGAGGACTTGAGTTCGAATCCCCACATGATGCTGGACACAGCAGTAATCTGTAATCCCAGCATTCTTACAGGGAAGAGATGGGAGGGAGTTAGCCTGCCCTGTGCAGCTGCGAACAGCAAACAGACCACACTGGATCCCAAACATGGTAGAAGGGAAGGATTAACATCAACGTTGTCTTCTGACCTCCACATGTGCAAACCATACTCACACACGTGCACACAGACACACATGCACACACACACACACACACACGTGAAATGTGTCCTGGTCTACATAGTGAGTTCCAGGCCATCCAGGGCTGCATAATGAAACCTTATCTTAAAAAAAAAAATTGGGGTGTGGTAAACTCACATGCACATACTCACACACAGATACATAACTTTAAAAGTGGGGCAGTGGCTGGAGGGATAGCTCAGAGGTTAAGAGCACTGGCTGCTCTTGAGCAGGACCTGGGTTCAGTTCCCAGCACCCACATGGCAGCTGACAACCATCTGACGCCCTCTTCTGGCTTCCTTGGACATTGCATGCATGGATGCAACACTCACACATGTAAAAATTAAAAAAAAAAAAAGACAGGGATGGAGTGTGATGGAGAGATGGCTCTGTAGTTAAGAGCACTTGCTGCTCTTGCAGAGGACCCAGGTTCAGTTCCCAGAACCCATGTCAGGTAGCTCATAACTCCAGCTGTAGGGAATATGATATCTTTTCAGGCATCCAAGGAAACCTGCACACATGTACACATACCCACACACAGACATATACACACACGTTTTAAAAAATCTCAGAAACCAAAAAATAAAACAAAAGAAAACAAAACCCTTAGAAACTTAGGGAGGCTGGGGATGTGGATAAGTTGGTCGAGTGCTTGCCTAGCATGCATGAACCCTTGGGTTCCATCCCCAGCACCCCATGAAACAGGTGGTGGTACACACTAACAATCTCAGCATTGGGGAAGTGGAGGCAGGAGGATCAGGAGTTATCCTTGGCTACAGAGTGAATTCAAGACCACAGCCTGGGCCACATGAGACCCGTCTCCAAAAAAAAAAAAATGTGTTCCATAGTCAGGAAAACAAGCCTTCCAGGTAACCAAACCCTAAACAGTGAAGGATGATAAGAACACATCCACCCTTCCTGCCATTAGGGGTCCTTGACTATTCTCCTACATTAAACCAAGCCCCACTCCCCTACCCAGAGAAAGAGTGACCCCCATCACACAGCCTAAGTCAAGGATATCCCCTCCCCTACTTCTGTTGAGTTGGCCCCAACTCATCTACTCAGAGAAAGAGTGACCCCTGTCCACTAATATAAATCTGTTAACTAAGCTTTCTTCCTTGAGACTCAAGACTTCTACTTCCCCGAGTTGGGGTGGGGGCTGACGCTATTTCAGACCCACAGTCTCCTCTTTTCCCCTCTTTCTCCCTAAAATCTAATCGAACCTCCCCTACTTCTGTTGAGTTGGCCCCAACTCATCTACTCAGAGAAAGAGTGACCCCTGTCCACTAATATAAATCTGTTAACTAAGCTTTCTTCCTTGAGACTCAAGACTTCTACTTCCCCGAGTTGGGGTGGGGGCTGACGCTATTTCAGACCCACAGTCTCCTCTTTTCCCCTCTTTCTCCCTAAAATCTAATCGAACCCACCCCTGTATAAGG